AATTGCCCAATTGCACAGCCTTAAGAGCGTGCATATCATGAATGCTGGGTCTTGTTTGCTTTCTGAGAATCTACTGCACCTACTGGTAACTTGTTTGCCATGTAGCAATAAAAAATATACTAAAAACCTGGATTATTCTGGTTAGTCACATTGTACTGCTATTATTTTGAACAATACTGTATACTGCTCATATTTGTGAGCTATTAAAGAAATGATCTTGTTTTGCTGATTAATGTGTAAAAACAAAGGAACTTGGTTAAAGCAGACTCCACGGCCCATTTCCTGTACCACAGAATATACTGGGTTGCGGCGTGCTGGTGCAGTGCTCACCAGAGGCTCAGTCTCCTGTGCATTACTGGCCAGAAGAAGTGTTCAGGGCACAGTGTTTGGTGACCAACGGGAGAGGGATGGTGTAGGGCCAAACACGAGCAGGCTTGTCCCAGGCTGCTGGTGTGTGTGGTCCTTAAAGGCGGGGACACATTCACCCACTTTGGATTTGAGTGCGATGACTGTTCAGACCCAGGCGGGCCGAGTCTCTTGGTGCTGACGGGTAAAATCTTGTAGTATGTAATCTTAACACCCAGCCACTACCAGCCGTCCTCAGAGATTTAAACATCTTTGATATCTGTGACTAAGTCCTGCATCGCTGAGGGTTTGTCTTCGATGGCAGGGCAAAGGTTCCCTGCAGAGATCCATGTTTTCATCTCAGTGATGCAATTCAGCCATGAAGCTTCTGAGTGGTTTGAGTTTTGGCTGTTTGTCTCTCCTCACCGTTCTTCCAGATTCAGATTCTGACTCCAGTTGTTGCACATTAGCTGATATCTGACTGCCTCTTCCCCACTGTTCCTTTTCCCCTTGTCCTGGCTTTGTTCCCCACCACCCCACCCTCTGTCCACCCCTCCCTTCAGGTGGAGTTCATCTTACCCCAGAGGACTTCACCAAGGCCCAGAAGTACTGCAAGTACGCCGGCAGCGCCATGCAGTACGAAGACGTCGGCACGGCCATCCAGAACCTCCAGAAAGCCCTGAAACTCCTCACCACCGGCAAAGAATGAAGTCTTTGTCCTCCAGGCTGACCCCCAC